GAAAATATGGACTTGACCTTGAATGACCTTTTCAAGGCCAAGTCAATGTGATCGGTTTTCTTAAATGGAACCCCATTTTATTGCATATTCTTGTAGCTTATCTCAAGAGCTTTTGAAAACACTATAATAAAGTATTTTTTCATTAAGTACTTTTTGAGTTATTTTATATTTTAATCTGACATATTTTGATATAAAAAATAAAATATCTCGTAAAATATTTAGTTTTCGATAATCTTACCGTAATATTTTTATGTACAGAATAATGAGACAAATCAATTAGTGCAAAGAAACAAACAAATAATTGTTTTTAAAAATACATTGTAGATAATTACATACATTCTCTTAAAAACAATTATTTATTTTTGCTAATTGATTTGTCTCATTATTCTGTACATAAAAGTATTACGGTAAGATTATCGAAAACTAAATACTTTACGAGATATTTTATTTTTTATATCAAAATATGTCAGATTAAAATATAAAATAACTCAAAAAATACGTAATAAAAAAATACTTTATTAGTGTTTTGAAAAGCTCTCGAGATAAGCTACAAGAATATGCAATAAAAATGGGGTTTCCGTTTAAGAAAACATCGATCACATTGACTTGGCCTTGAAAAGATCATTCAAGGTCAAGTCCATATTTTCATCATGTGTCCCCCTGTGAATCATACAACTTTTGTTTAAAACATTTTTGTCTTAAACTTATAGATTCTAAGATATTTCAGTGTATACATTAAAATGGCCTACCCTGTATGTATGTAATAATAATAGTAATATAAATTACGAAATAATATATAAATCATGAAAACTAAATATAAATTATTAAAATTGAATATACATTGCATTTAAATTTAAAATTATAGTGAAAGGATATTTGGGATATCTCAGTTTTATTTTAGTCCTGGAGTTAAATTTGTGCTATTTAGTGGAATACAGAACACTCTTTTAATAGACAAATCATTTATCATAAAGAAACTAAAACTTAACAGATTTCTTATTCTTTAAGAAATCAGAATCAAAAACATAAACAAATATCTAAATGATTAAAATTCAGAAGATCTGTAATTTCAGAAGATCGGTAATTTGGAATATTGTATTCCAAATTATAATCATGTTATTTTATTTACAATAATCACATAAGTGTTGTTGTTGAAGCTAGCACATTCATTGTGCACCCAATAACAATACATGAGGCATATCATCCATAATTCACCTCAAACGTCATCACTAAAGCGTCTTTCGCAAAAGAAACACTGCATCTTGATTATTCGACTGAGAAGTTCCATGTGGTAATGAATACTTAGAACATATATTAAACATTATACATTAAACATTATATGCATTACATTAACATTACGTTAGGTGTTCCAAATTAGAAACATACGCAATTTTACGTCAAAAATCCAAATAGAAAAAAAATACATTAATAAATCACAAAAATTAAAGACAATTCTCAAAATTAATCTATACACGAATTAATTAACGCATAAATAACATTATAAAAATTACTTAGTATTAAAACAATAATAAAAGATTTAATACTTATCAAAAAAGTTTTGATTTTCAAACTTGCACAAACTTGCTTGCCACAGCCAGTAGAACATTAGCGCTTCTGACGACATTTTTAGACATTTTGTTGTACGAATTTTTTGTTGTACTAATTCCAATATCTGCTGATAAATAGCACTATGAAATCATCAATTTTTCGTGATATTCCAAATTATATTAGCAATATCTCAAACATACTACACTTCCTCTACATAATTAGAAATTATTAAAATTGAACATAATAACTGACTTATAAAATAATAACTAGATAATAACTGACTTATGAAATAATAACTAGACATCAGATTTTTTATTCAGAAATTTATTATTAAAAAAACAATTAATAATTAAGATTTAGGTTATTTACAATATCCAACATGTTCATACTGCAACATATAGCAATATGCACTTTCTATGCAAAATATATGTAAAATAATATGCATTATGTATGCAAGATATATGTCAAAATATATTCTTATAAAAAACTGTTTTTTATATTAATAACGTTTATCTTACTATGTAAATATTATTCACCTCTGAAATTGGGTAAATATATTTTTAAATGTTTTTTATTATTTCACTTATATTAATACAATTAATATTTTTTAAGAGGTCTTCCTAGTTTGACACTTTGACAATAAGGCGATTTTGGGGAATTTTTTGTAAAGAAAAGTATAAAACATATTAATTCTAAACTTCGCACATTTATTAAATAACATTTCAAGTATATCCTGAATTTTTTTCAAACAAAAATATTTGTTTGTTTCGAAGTTATAGTAGTCCAACCAGGGTGTCTAAAAGAAATTGTTGTTCGTGGCGAACATGACTCCAGCCGTTATAATATCATCTGAAATAAAAAAACCAAAAAGATTCTTAATCTGTATGAGTGTGACTATTGCGTGAACTAGAATAAAAAAAATATTAAAAAATAAGAAAATGGCAGCGCCTCAAAAAAAAATTTTATTTTTCACCAAAACATTGGTTAGTTTTATAAGTTGCAAAATTCGAATTTTACAAATATCGATTTAATTCTAGTTCATACGATAGCAACACTCATACAGATTAAGAATCTTTTTGATTTTTTTAATTTAGATGACTATAATGGCTGGAATCGTGTTCGCCACAAACAACAATTTTTTTTTAGACACCCTGGTTGGACTACTACAACTCCAAAACAAACAAAGATCTTTGTTTGAAAAAAATTCAGGATATACTTGAAATGTTATTTAATAAATGTGCAAAGTTTAGAATTAATATGTTTTATACTTTTCTTTAAAAAACATTCCCAAAAATCGCCTTATTTCAAGAGTGTCAAACTAGGAAGACCCCTCAAGTTTTTTCATTTATTTTATTTATATTAATACACAATTTATACGATTAACACAATTGCTTTGAAAATGTATCTATTTATCAAAATTTTTTTTTTATTTTGCAAATTATGTAAAATAAAGTAGTTTAAATTATAATAAACAATTAATATTCTTTCAAAACTGGAGACTATAAATTTGTGATGAGAGAAAATGTCTGAGAAAAAATCATCTTGTATGCAAAATATTTTTATAATAATAATATACAGGGTGTCCTAGACCACCCGTACACTCCTTTTCTTTCAAAAACTAAGCAATGATGATCCTTTTTCGTAGAGAGATAAGACCGACAAAAATTACGAAGGCATACTTGTTAGCCGCGGCTTATTGCTCGACGTTCGGCGGAACAGGAACGTTGGTGGGAACCGGCACAAATCTGACCTTCAAGGGAATCTACGAGAGCACATTTCCCAAGGCCGAGGGAATCAGTTTCACCGAGTGGATGATCGCGTCCTTTCCCCAGATGGTCGTCAATTCCTTCCTCACTTGGATGTACGTGCGAATCGCATTTCTGGGATATCTGAGACCGCGCAGTAAAGACGCTGAAATGGCTACAATTGGAACTGAGGGCGAAGCTGTCACGAATCAAGTAAAATCACGTATATGGCCCGTATTCATAGTCGGTTCTTATATTTAAAACCGTCTTAAGTACAATCTTAAGATGTCATAAACCAATCACAGAGCCATATTAGCATCTTAAGACATTACTTAAGACGGTCTTGAAATAAGAACCGACTATGAATACGGGCCTAAAGATAATATTTAAAATTATTTCGATCCCGCACTAAAAAAAATTTTTTTCATGGAGACCATTTCTTTAATTACAATTTTTTTCCGGAAGAAATCCATATAATTTATATATATTTATATATGAGCAATTCTTCTCACTTTTTCAAAGGACTCCGCATCATTCTTACGGGAAAGTGTCTTTTTGCGGATTTGGCTAATTTTTGAATATGTTGTAATTCTTGTCATTCCGAACAAATATCTCAATGAGCACAACTTGATCCTATGAGCCGTTTCCGTGCTACAAATCCTGGAAAATCCAGATTTGACATGTAAAGATATAGGCTTTTGGACTCGATGTGCGTGTGCGTGTGCGTGTGCGTGTGCGTGTGCGTGTGCGTGTGCGTGTGCGTGTGCGTGTGCGTGTGCAAAAGAATAAACTAATAATCAAAATAATAATAATAAAAATAATATAATATGTAGACTCCTTCTGAAACGTCGATTGAAACTCTCATTTACAACTTTTATATTCTCACACAGTTTCAAATATTCATGATTAACGCAATGTTCGAGTTCAAATAAAAAAAATATAGTTGACGGTTTCATGTACAAGCAAGAATCGCGTAATGTAAGTTTCACAATACTCGCATCATGTATTTTAACAATCTCAATTGTTAAATCGTAAATCCATATGGGTGCATGATTAGGCGTTTGTACAAGCTGTTCAACATCCACTCGTTTCAGCATTAGCGATTCCCATGTGTCAATAGATATACAATAGGTACAGTCCAGTATACGTGGATTTCTAATGTATGTCAATTATAAAAATAGACATACATATAATGTTTATGTATAAGTTTTTTG